TTGGGAGCAGCCAGCCCCGGCCACGCTGAATGGCTTTGCTCCGGCAGCCGTCGGGCTTCGGTGGGCTCCCCGCCAGCCGTTCCTCTTCCTGCAACAGGGTAACCCCCTCCCGCCCATCCTGCCCCTTGGCAGCCAGCAACGGTGGGTGTAACGGGGTAAAAGGCCCTGGTCTGTGACCTGCCGACCTGTCACCAGGCTCGGTTGGGCGAAGGCAGCTGAGCCCGGAGGAGCCGAGGGGGCCGGGAACAGAAGGGCAAAAGGAGGAAATCTGACGGCGGAGCATCTCCCACGTGCAGCGCACTGGACGGCACGGCCCGGTTTCCTCCCCGGCGTGCTCCCCGACACCTTCACTCCTTCGAGTGCCTCCAGATGAGACGGGATACGTTTTCCCTTTGATCCCCCCAGTCGGTCGGTTATTCCTTACTGCATGCTCCATCTGCTGGGCTTTTACACGAGACCCTGCCGTGGTGGGGTCTGAGAGCGGGGTGCAGCTGCCAGGAAAACACCTGGGTCTTGGCACACTGGATGCAAACAGGAGCCGGGAAAAACAGCAGGTCAAGCCAACGGTATTTTACCTGTCTGCCTCATCCCTTTCATGTCTGGAGTTGAGCAAGGAATGCCAAGACCCCTGCGGAGATCCCCGTGGAGAACAGGCTCACACCGAGCCCAGAAAATGTTTTTTTGAGAGCTGGAAAAAGAAAAGAGGGAAAGAAAAAACAAAAAAGACAATGCAGCAAGAGACCCTCCCCAGTCCACGCAGGGCCGTGTCTCACCAGTCGGCCGTGCAGATGTGCAGCACGTGTGGGCAGGTTTCTGGGAGGACGTGCAGCTCCTGGCTGAGCGGCAACCAAGGGAGCTGGCACCTCCAGCCAGGGCAGCAAGGTGCGGGCTTCAGCACGGGGGAAAATCGAGCTGAGAGGGAGGGTTTGGTTATGACCGTGGCACCAACCGTGGGCCCAGCTCCCCTCGCTCGGTGCGGACAGCCTTGGCAATGGCTTTTGCGTGGCAATGAAGGTGAAGTGGCCTGCGCTGGTCCCAGCATCTCACCACTGCTGGGGTTCGAGCACCCTTTGCAGGACCTTGTGTAGATGTAATGCATATGTCTTTTCCTCACCTCCACAGGCTGAGACGCTGCCATGGGAGACCCACAAGTACCAACAGGAGCATTGCCCTTCTCTGGAGCTCCAAGGCCAGAGTCTCCTTCCTGGGAGCAGAGCCACAGCTATTGCAACCACGCCACGAATGGGCAGCGCTAGGAGGCCTGCCAGGAGCTCAGGGCCAGAAGAGGACCCAAGCCCTCATCCACAGGTGAGAGTCCCGAGGGGGAGCCCAGCCAGAGGGTCTGCAGGGCAGGTAGAGACATCCTGCCCCATGCTCCCTGGGTCTCCCCGCACCGAAGGCAACCCACAGCGTCTGCAGTGCTCACCAGCCCCATGGCTGGCCTGACCCCGCCATCGGAAACCAGGGGAAGTGAGCCACAGCCAGGAGGGAGAAGAGCGAGGAGACAGACGGAGAGGGTCTGGGAAGGAGCCTTAGACAGCACCATGTCCTTCGGGAATCGCTCTCTTTTTCCATTGTCTTCTCCTTGCCCTCTCCTGCCTTCGCTGCAGCATCACCCTTCCTTCAGCAGAGGAAACCTAGCAGTGGCGTACTTGGAGCCAACATCCCAGGTCTGACATCATGCCGAGAAAACAGGAGAGTTTCAATATGTGCAATGGGAACAGTGCAAACACAAGCCATCGCCTGGAGGCCCTGAAGAGTTCCCACTGCCGCTTCGCAGCTCCCCGGTCCCCTCCTGTGCACGGGGCCACAGCAGGCTGGACTGTACATCCCACCACCGTGAGCCCTCGGGGACGTGCAGAGTGCCCCAGCGGGGTGGCAGCGAGCAGCAGACTCAGTAAATCACTCGTGCTAATGGGAGACGAGTGCTGCGGGTGCTCCCATCGCGGTGCAATGCATGTGCATCCCCGAGGAGGGCTGCCGAAGGGCTAGCAGGAGGCTGTGGGAGGCCGGCAGGCGTCGCCAGTCCCAGCCGCTGCCAAGACCACAAGGACAAGTGCAGGGTCTGGGGCTAAGGAGGAGGACTCACTGTCACCGAGGACACCGCCAGCCGGCAGTGCTCCCAGGGACACGGCTGCATGACGTGTCCGGTGCGCATGCACATGTCCAGCGCCCCGAGCCTTCCCCAGAGCTCCGAGCCTTTCCTGGAGCACTCGCTCGTGGACAGGGAACCGGCTCCTCTGCTCTGGCAAAGGTGCCGGTACCCCGTGGCTCCCACCCTCCACCCCGTGCAACCTGCAGGCTGATGCCCGCGGGGCATTTCCTCCCCGGGATCAGGGAAGCCTG